GCAGGTGAATGGACAAGTATGCTGTGGTAATCTGGACAATGGACTATTATCCAACACTGAAAAGAAATGAATTACCAAGCCCCAAAGATATGGTGGGAACTTAAATGTTTATTACTAGTGAAGGAAATCTATGTAGCAAAAAGGCTATACAATGTACAATTCCAATTATCTGACATTTTGAAAAGGCAAAACTATGAACACAACTTAAAAGGATTAGTGGTTACCAGCAGTTGGGGAGAGGGAGGAGTGAATAAGTAGAACACAGAGGATTTTAGGGTGGTGTCCCTGTTGACTCTCAAATCCACAAATGTACAACACTAAGAGGGAGTACAGCCTTTGTGTAAACTATGGACTTGGAACAATGATATGTCAATGTAGTTTCATCAACTGTAACAAAGGAACTACACTGGCAGTAGATGCTGATCATGAGGAAGGCTAACACGGACAGGAACGGGAACATGGTGAAATCTCTACACCTTCCTCTTAATTTTGATGTGAACTTAAAACTGCTCCCAAAACGTAAAAATTTCAAAAATAATGGAATTCATAGAGTCCCCTCTTCATCATACCCACTCTAACAGTTATGTGGGGAGTGAGGGGGTCTCTATTCAGAGGTTTTGCCTGGGATCTGAATTTAAAACAAAAAAACAAATTTTCAGGTGACTTTGATCACATAATAGACAATATATACAACTACATCTCCTCGAAAACATGACAAGAGATATCTCATGTTTACTACACATAGCTACAGGAACTAAATAAACCACAGGCATTCATAAGGCGACATTTCTGATGCCAATAAAATTATAACAACTTACTCATTTAGTAAAATGTCAATTGTCATGTGGTTTTGAATGGGAATATTTATTACCAGTTTCTTCTGATTTGCACTGATTCAAGTCGATTTCTTTCTGTCTTCAAAGAGTATATTTTGAATAGAGTACAAATACTTCATAATAGGTGCTCAATAAATATTTGCTGAATTAAACTAAATTGAACAAATTAGTTATTCTCCACACAGTCAAAAGCAAACATTTAAAATAATTTAATTTAAGCACTTGAGTGACTATATTACCTTTCGATTCTATTTCAAGATAAATATCCTAGTGCCATTCTAAGTACACTACAGTCCCTGAAGCTGGCAGCCAAAAGAAGAAATTTATTTGGGGAGCACAGCATGAAAACTGTTGACTACCGGCCAGTTAATGCAAATGTCCCTTTCTTCCAACATTCAGTTAGCATAAAATAAAAATAATTGTTGCTAACAGAACCAATGTTTTGAGTTTTCACGTGACTTTCTACCCAAACCTAATAATTCATTGCCTTTCTAAAACTTGATTACTGAGTCTAAAAATGTTGCATGAGGCTTAAGTTTGCATTCATCAGGATAGGAAACGACAGGTCTTATCTCAGTTATGCACTCAAAAGATGTTAATGATCTTCAGAAATATGCACCTAGAAATATTTCACTCACGAGTGCATATATCACCATACACCAATATAAATGTATCACTTAGAGCCAAATATATGTTTGCCAAAATGCTACCTCAAAAAAAAAAAAATCTTATTCAGGCTGAGGTCGTGACTCAGTGGTAGAGCACTTGCCTAGCATGTGTGAGGACTGGATTCTCAGCACCACATATAAATAAATAAAATAGAGGTCTATTGACAACTAAAAAAAATATTAAAAGAAAAAAATTTTAAAAATCTTATTCAGGAAAAAGCTCATGATGTGACAATATTCAGAAAGAAGATCCTTAACCTTTTCTCTATATACACCTTTTCATCTATCCACTATTTCTTATAGTATATTACATGGCACACAGTAGGCATTAAATGAATAATTATGGAACCTACAAAATTTAAATCTAGTATTCTAAATGTCCAGTTAATAAAACAAATAAAAATAATTTAATGATACTTTGGAGCCTACTCTTATGTGAATATCTCATTCTGCTAGATTTTAATATTTTTCCATTGACTACAAACAGGATTTTTGAATAGCAAGTGATTAAAGTGATTTAGAATAGCAACATATTTCTAATGGAAGAATTATAAGGAACATGAAATTAATATTATAACACAAACAAGTAGGTTCTCAAATTTGAGATAGAAATTTTAGCATGATATTTTAAAATGTTCTTGGGTATTGCCTTAAAGATTCCAATTAAAAAGATGGGTTCAAGTTTAGAAAGGACCATTTTTAACAAGCATATATTCTAAGAATCACACTAGAGAAATAGTCCTTTGTAAAAAGAAGGGGAAACAAAACCAAATTTGTTTCCATACCTGAGCCTTGAATTTAGCTCTTTCTGTCTTGGCAGATGAGACAAAAAGGAATTAAAGAGGAAGAAACCATTGGCTAATAACAGGAAGCCTGGCAGTTTGTCAAGGAACGCCAATAAATTACTTCAAATCTTTTTTGTAAATAGGCACAGTATGCACATGGAGAGAAAAAAATACCCGAGCATTAACAACAACAACAACAAGAATCTACCAGATGGCACTTCATGTAAAGGACAGTAAATAATAGAAACAAAAATGTCCTTATGAGCAATCTGGAGAATCTATAGAAACATCATCAAAGGGTATTTTCTTATTCTAATTTAATTTTAAGCATGAGGACAAACTTTTACACACTGCTGATTCTAAACTGGTATGGCCTCCTTGGAGAACATGAAAGATGCATGTTCCTTACAATCCAGCAATTCTGCTTCTGGATATAACCTAGATTCAGAAAAACCCACTTATGTGCCCTAGGAGACACATACAAGACAAGTGCCAGTATTGTTTATATTTGTAAGAAATTGTAATCATGGTGAATAATAGTCAAGGAATAGGGCAAACTGTGGTGTATGCATACAATGGAATATAATAATTAGGAAAAAATTAATGAACTAGAAGTATATATACCCATAAAGATGAATTTCATAAATATAACACTGAGGGGAGGAAACCATTTGAAGAAGAATAGTGTGATACAGAACACATAAACACACACCAAATGCATTATTTCAAAAACATACTTTTGAGGTAAAAATATAGAGAAATTCATGGGATGATACCAAAGTCAAGGACAAACGGTTAGTTATTCTGAATGGGGTACAGGGCAATGGGATTAGGGAGGATTAGGGATTTAATTGTATCAGTAATGCTTTATTCCTTTAGAAGGGTCATAGATACAGAGGGGAATGTTAGATGTCTGAATTATTTAATAATAAATGAAAACTATAAGGGGATAATATTAAACTATATCCTAGTAAAATCCTAGGGCCATATGTAATATGATTCACGCAGATTCCTTCCCAATGATAACAAGTGGATAGTAGGGGAAAGAGGAATGGACAGGGAACATGCCCTGTATACTAGAAAGCAGCCCTCAACAGATTAAGGAGATCAAAGAATGTCTGTACTGTAGAGACACTGAAGCCCTTAAAAAGCAGGAGACTAATCTACATAAACTGATAGGGAAATATGGGCCCCACATATTAAAAAACAAAAGCAAGTTACACAATAGTAATGCTTAGTGTGATCACATTTTAAAAAGAAAAGGTTTACGTATCCTTGTAAACTCATCTACTTAGCTAAGACCAAATGTGGCTTTTCTTTTAGATTTCACCTTACCTAACCTTTCAGTGCTGCTGGCCACCGCCGCTGTCTCTTCCTCTTCCTCCTCTTCCTCCTTCTCCTTTTTTTTTTACAATACTGGGAATTGAACCCAGGGCCTGGCACATGCTAGGCAAATAAATGGTCACCATTGAGCCACATCTCTAGTCCCATCTTCTTCCTCCTTAAAGCACTCTTTCCCCTGCCCCGGACACCATCACTGTAATGTCCTTGGTTTTCTCCTATCTCTCTGGCTACTACTCCTCTGTGGTTTTTCAAGCTTCTCTTCTAATGTAGCTATGAAATCTCAGCAGTTCTAAGAGTCAGTCTTGAAACATCATTCTCCATTATCCTCTCTGCCAAAATGATCTCATGTACACTCAGAACTTCTATCATCATTTAACATGAAGAGGGATGGCAACAAATATATTGTTACCTTTGACTTTTCCCTCTGAACTCTATCTAGCTGCACACACAGCAGCTCTCCTTGAATGTCTGCAAGTAATTCTAATATATACATATGGAGGAGGCCTTTTGGAAGAAATATGGTTAGATGAGCTCATGAGAATGTTCCCCTTTTTGATGGAATTGGTAGCTATGCAAGAAGAGGAAGATAGACATAAGATAAAATTCCCCTATACTCTCTCACCAAGTGATGCCTTATCCCCTGCCCCAAGACATCCCAGCTCCACAACTGTAAGAAATAAATTTATTTTTCTTTATAAATTATCCACTCTGTAGTATTCTGTTTTAGCAGCAGAAAAGAGACTAAGACCCTCTACCAGTACATGCCAGGATTCTCCACCCAGATGCACAAACCACTGTCACCTCTAACATTGTCAGCCACCACACCCCCATCTATCAGAGTCCTATTGATTTATTTCCTGAATATCTTTCAAATGTGACTCCTTTCCACTTAAATTAGCCACACAAACTTAGTCCAAACTACCAATTATCTCACCCAGACTACTTCACTGGGCTACTGATTAAGACACTCTGATCCATTTAGTTCTTCCTCAATACATTTTCCAGATTTCAGCCAATGCAGACATGATCCTACCCCAAGTATTAACAAACACTTATATTCTGCTTAATAACTCTATTTCTTCCTAACCACCTTTGGGAAGAAATATTGCCTGAGATGATTTTTCTCCTTTTCATTTTCCCTTCTTTCTCTATTAAATTTGTAACTCTAATACCATAACAAAAATTAAAATAACTGAAAAAAAAAACACTGGGCAAAATGGCCTGCTATGTCTCTTCTGGTATTAAGATACATGATTAAATGATTTAAGCTACTCAGCTCTGATTATTTTGAAAACACACATAAAAAGAAAATTCATGTGAGTTTGATTTATTTTCAGAGGTATATTTAATAAAACTAGTATTTTTACCTTGTAAAAATGCCATCCACAATCCCAATTGTTGCCTCCTCTGCAGGAACATAGGAGCCAATCTGAGCCATGATAGTAATCAATGCGACTTGTTTTATGTAGGAGCTCTTTCCACCCATATTTGGTCCAGTGATTATCATTACTCTTTCTGAGTCCTCCTGAAATCAAAAAGGAATTTCACTTATAATACCAGAAGGATTTTTATGTAATATCCATAATTTATCCCATAAATGGGAATTCATTGGGTAAAACATTCCTTTGTGACATTTAAATATGTTACTGTATAACCCATTTGCCATTGTTATAACAAAATGTCTTAGCTGGGTAATCTGTAAAGGAAAGAGGTTAATTTAGTTCACAGTTCTGGAACCTCAAAGAGCATGGCATTGACTTCTTCTCAGGTCTGGTGAGGGCCTCATAGTGGACAGGATCACCATGGTGAGAGCAAAAGCCAGAGGGATCTTATCACAAGACAGGAAGCCAGAGACTGGTAGGGGCCAAATCTCTTTTTATAACTAACAGATCATTCTTGTGTGAGTTAACTCATTCCATGAGACCAGTATTAACCTATTCTGAGAACAACAGCCTCACTGGCCTAATTACCTAACATTTGGCCTCACTTCTTATTTTTGGTGCTGGAGGTTGAACCCAGGGCTTATATATATTAAATAAGTGCTCCACCACTGAGCTGTACCCCCTGCTGCTCAGCCCCATCTCTTAAAGCTTCCACTGCTTCTTATATCACCACTCTGGGGTCAATGGTTCCAATGCAGGAACTTTTGGGAAACAATAACATCCAATCAGCAATACATATCACAATAAATACCAGCCTGAACAACGCTATTGCAGAAAAGTGAATTCTTAGTACACATAGCTGTTTCAAGGTATTAAAAAAGGAAATAAAGAGAAAGCTGAACTCATCAGACATTCTTTAATCTGCCTATCTGAGTGTTCTTCATATTGCTTTTATTTAAAATCTGTCAGTTTCCATCTGTCCATCTTAAAACTATAAGCATTAGTGTCACAAGCCGTCCATGGGTTGTGTGTAGGTCACCACACATGGAAGCCTAGTGGGATCGAAACACCTGGTGTCTGGGAATGACCAGTGGACATTTTCTCTAGTCAACTGCCCAGAGACATTGTGAATTTCTATTCCGCTCTGCCATGACCCACACAGCACCTGAGATGGGTGTACACCTGCCAAGATGCCAATCAACCTGCTGACTGCAGGACATCAGGAAGCAAGACTCTACCCTTGAAACCTTACCCCTGTCTTTGATGTACCCCTTAAATAAACCACAGGAGCCATCTTTCCTTTGTCTGGTTCCAGCTATTGTGTGGACTGGATGTATCAAGAGCTTCACTTTTCTAAATACATTTCTGACTCTTTGTGTTTTGTTCTTCATTAATTATTTTAGTCTTTAAGTTTTCAGGTGGCTTACATCCTCCTCGGCAGAAAAACAAACCCTCCAATGAGATGCTGGCTGTGGCCTCTGTTACATTATAACTAGAATAAAATCTATTCTGTGCTTATATAATTATGTCAAAATGAATTCTACTGTCATGTATAACTAAATAGAACCAATAAATAAATTAAAAGAAAGAAAAAACTATAGGTATTACATATCCAATTGCCCAAAACCATATTTTGGGTTAGTAGTACATAGATTTTTCAGTCATAGGTAGAAGACTATTAAAAGAAATTTACAACATCAATTCTAGATGTGAGTTTTGTCAGTACTTAATTATTCATTGGCATTTTACCAAAATATATGGCAGAGGCAGATGAGCTACAGCTCTTAGATGACCTAATTTTCTACCTTCCTTGTATTAATCGATTATAGCACATACCATGTATAGATTCTGCTAAGGGAGTTTGTCCAACTGCAGCCCTCTGCAGAGAAGTTATCCCAAGGCACCCATACTCTATGCTATGTGAACCCATACCTTGGCCACACCTACCTAGTCCAACTTTTGACTGGTTAATGAGTCTAGAATAAAAGCTCTTCTCAGAATAGGCCAATTAAACACTCCCTTAGAAGTTAACTGGAAACTATAGAAAGATTCAATCAGCTAATAAGTGCATCAGAGATTGTAAGGCATCACAGAACAGGCCACAAGGCACTGGAAGATATTACATCTCAGCACTTTGGGGGAGGGGGCAATTCATCCCTAAAGCTAATAAGCCACACATTCGCATTTTCCCTGATGTCAAACTGTACTAGGGATGCTGTTCTTCCTGTGTAATTTCTTCTCTTGTAGCGACATGTGGCATAATGAATCTCCACTAATGGAACTTGAGTGAATCAGAAAGAGCCTAGAATAGTAAGAAAAGGGAAGGAAGTTTGGTATGAGAATGGTGAAACTAATGATAAAAAATAAAATGAATTCTGCAGAGATTTAAAAAATAATAAACCTATGAATAAACAACCACATACCTGGTATAACTAAGTACTTTTAAATTTTTAAATAAAGCTAATATTTATTTTTTAAAAATGGCAAAATGATACCAAAAGGGAGAATCTAATAATACTGTATTTAAAAAATTAAACCTGTAATTGAAGCCCTTTCACCAAAAAATCTCTAAACCAGCTAACATCCCCACTAAGTTCTTGAAAACATTTAAGAAATAGCACTAATATTACAAAAAAAATTCTAGATAATAGAACAAGAGGAAATTCTTCCCAAATCATTTCATAAGGCCAATCAATATAATATAGATACCAAAGCCTGACAGGAACTTTACAAGAAAGAAAAATTTAAGACTAATTTTACCTATAAATATAAAAAGCAAAATCCCTTAATAAAATTTTAATAAGCAAATACCAGGTATAGAGCTTCTAAGAAATACAAGGTTGGTTGATTAGTTTAATATTCAAAAGCCAATCAATAGAATTTGCTGCACTAACAGAATAAGGAAATTATCTGATGATCTTTAATGATACAGAGAAAGCATTAAAGTTCAACATTTACTAGTGAAAAGAATAAGATAAAGATACAAAAGGTACAAGAATTGGAAAGATAATAATGAAACTATTATTATTCATATGGTTGTATTCCCAAAAAGAAATTTACAAAAATGATTAGAACTGATAAATGAATTTAGTGAAATCAAATTAGATACAAGTTCAGTATTCAAAAGTCAACTTTAACCTCTACATTTTAGCACTAAGTAATTAAAAATAAATATATTTTAATCAAACAATTTACCAAAGTATCAAAATAAGTCAAATATCTAGGAATAAACCTAACAGATGAATAAGATCGTTATACAGAAAGCTATAAAACTATTATGGAAGGAAATAAAAGAATATCTAATTAAATGAAGTAGGATACTGTGTTCATGAATTGGAAGGCTCAATATTGTAATGCTATACAATTAGTAATGCTATACTAATTAATAATGCTAAAATAATTAATGTTATAGCAGTGGAAGAGAACAGAATCTAGAAATAGATTGGCATGTATATCATTCCTTGATTATAACAAAGATGACAATGCTGCTCTGACAAAGGACGGTCTTTTTGATGACTTGGGTTGGGTCAAAGAATGTCTATACTGAAAAATATGAACTCTTGATTCTCTATCTTACTTAGTAAACAAAAATCAATTCCAGATAGATGATAGGTTTGAAATACAGAAACAAATATTAGGGCTATCAAAACAATAACATATGATTCTGATGTAAGCAACAACTTCTTAAACAGATCTTCTTAAACAGGACTATAAAGGAGAAGACTGAAAAATTGGAGTATGTTAAATAAGGAAGTTATGTTTATAAATGGTACCATTTAATAGACTGAAAATCTAAAGAACAGAAGGTACCATTACATTATGTATTTTCCAAGTACTTGAATCATACATATATGTGCAAATATTATATATAAATCAAAAGAAAAAACTAAAAAGAAAATGACAAAAGAAGATATACAAATGGTCGCTAGTAATATGCAAAAGTGTCCAACTTCAATAATCATTAGGAAAGTGAAAGTACAAATCTAATCATAAAAAGATACCACAACTCCATGTGTACAGCTAAAGTTTAAAAACAAAAATTGTCAATGTAATAGTTTTGGCAAAGATGTTGGGGAAATAAATTGTATGTCATTTTGAAAAACCTTAGAGAAGAAAAAAACCAAAAACCTTAGCAGTATCTACTAAAACTTAAAACAGATATAGCTAAAGAATTGTGCTCCTAAGCACATCTTAAACAGAAATGTAAATGATAAATAACAAAAGGTAAGTGAAAGATTGTTCACAGCATTACTTTTCAAAATAGCCTCAAATTGCAAATAATTCCAATGTTTATCAACAGTGAAACAGATAAACTGTGATATATTCATACAAAGAATTCTATATGACAATGGAAATAAACTACATGGAAAATCTGTGAATGACTCACACAAAAACAATGTTGGGGCAGGTTGGGGCTGTGGCTCATTGGTAGAGAACTTGCCAGCACATGTGAGGTACTGGGTTTGATCCCCAGCACCACATAAAAAAATAAATAAAATCAAGTTATTGTATCCATCTATAACTAAAAATATTTTTTTAATGTTGGATCAAAAAAATACACAGTATATATTGTATGTTTCTATTTTTACAAAGCTCAAAAACAGACAAAACTAAAATATGGTAAAATAAATTAGGACAACAATACCTTAAGGGAGCAAGGAGGTACTCAAAGGAACTCCCCCGACCAGAAGGGGCACCATTTCTACTCTACTGTTCTATTTCTGGATTTGGATGTTGGACACTTGAGTAACTTTGTAAAAACTGACCAAGCTGGATACCTACAATCTGTGCATGTTATATTTCAATAAAGGTTAGTTTTGAATGGAAATGATGTCATTCTCACAAATTAATCTAAAAAGCAATATAATTCCAGAAGCTAATTCTGAAATTTATTTGATGGAGAAAAAAAATCAAGGAAAAGTCAATACAATTTTGAAGAAGTACAACTGGGAGGGAGACTTTATTATTAAGCTATAGGAAATAAAAATTGTGATACAACTTTAGAAAAATGCGGACAGAGCAGTCACAGAAAGCCCACTAACCAAATCTATAGATACCACTCTGGTGCATGTCATCAGTGGTGGGATTACAAGTCAGCCAAAAAAGATGCAATATTCAATAAACAATGGTGGGACAACTGGGT